CAAATTTCTCAGCAACATTAGATGCCAACAATAAGAGAAAGATGGGACTCAAGAGTTCTATATCTGATCAAGCTGTTGTTCACCTGTACAGGCAATAGAAAGACATTACCAAAATGCAGATTACAATTGTGGGGGATTTTGAATACGTTAAAATAATTAAGTTTAAATAACTATATCAATCAGGATTCCATCAGAGAAACAGAACTATTTGAGCATGCACACACGTGCATATGTGTGCACACACGTGTGCATGCGTGTGTGTGTGTCATAGGGATCTGGTGCTGGCAATTGAAGCACAGTCAGGAAGGGATGATGGATACAAAGTGGAGAAGAGTAAGAACAGCATGAATCCACAGGCACAAGACCGAGTCCAAGAGGACAGTCCAGGGGACACAAATGCATGCCAGTTTTTTGAGTCCTTTTTCACAGCACTAAGCACACCCATCTGGTCCAGGAGGCAGAGAAGCTCCACGAGGATCCAAGGGAGAGAGGAGCAGTTGCAGGCCTGGCTGCTAACAAGCTGAGCCGCAGAAAAACGACGACACGCTGAGCTAAAAGTGGCTGCTGCTTCCCTTCTGTCCTCCAAATCCCCACAAGAATCTCCCTTGTGGGCAACCCTAATCAAAACATACGGGAAAGATGTCTTAGTCCTTTTTGTGCTGCTATAGCAGAATGCTTGGGACTGGGTAATTTATAAAGGACAGAAATTTATTTCTTTACAGTGCTGGAGGCTGGGAAGTCCAAGATCAGGGGGCCCACATCTGGTGAGGGCCTTCTCGCTACATCTTGCATGGTGGAAGGTGGAAGAGCAAGAGAGCAGCACAGGAGAGAGCAGGGAAGGGGGCCAAACTCATCCTTTTACCAAAAATCCACTTCTGCGATAACCAGCTCACTCCTACGATAACAGCATTAGAGCTCTCACAACCTAATCACCTCTTGCAACACCGTTGCATTGGGGATTAATATTCCAACACATGAATGTTGGGGCACACATTCAAACCACAGCAAAAGGAGCAAAAGGTAATTCTGGAAAGAGTAATTTAGTCTGGCCAAATTGAAACATTACAAAGATATTATAGTCCAGCCCTTGTCAATTGGCATCCATGCATGTTGTCCTAAACCATACTTAATCTCCAATCAACTAAAGACAATAACAAAGTCATAACATTCCTCCTATGACCAAAACCACTAACCTTTTCCCCAGAAGAGCATCCGAGTCCTTTTTTATCTTTGGATAATGTTCATGCTTTTCATAGCTGATTCACACTCCCTCCTTGACATCTTATAGCATAAATACTTACATATAAAGTTATGTATTATTAGCACATCTGAGATGACAAAGGGATGAGAGAGGAGGTGAAAACAAAAATATTTGGTTCATATTTACTAAAATAGATTCACATCAAAATATGCAAGAACTACTCATAACTATCACAGTCCTGGTTTCTACGACAGGTCACAAGGTCACAGCTAGTATTTACAACTACCGTTGTCCACTACCTATTCCATATTTCTTTTGCCCTCACTTAGTGCTTAGTCATAGTTCCCTGCCTGGGTCATTAGCAGTCTAAATTGGATTTTAATAGTTTTCCATTGAAATTGATCAGAGGGGTGCCCCCCAAGGATCTCCTGCAATCCTTCACCTTACACCCCATTGTGCAGTAGCAATCCAATTTCCCCTTGATAGTCAGGACCTCAGCCAGTAGTCTGCCTGTTGATGCATGGCCCAAAGCTTTTCCATTGAAATTGATCAGAGGGGTGCCCCCCAAGGATCTCCTGCAATCCTTCACCTTACCTCCCATTGTGCAGTAGCAATCCAATTTCCCCTTGATAGTCAGGACCTCAGCCAGTAGTCTGCCTGTTGATGCACGGCCCAAAGAGGCCAGATGGCAGCTTCAAGTTCCAGTTCAACAGAATCTTCGCTGTGTCTCCTGGTAAAAACATTTCTTCCTTTGTAACTAAGACCTTTAGACCAGCAGAGCCTAAAGTTGCAGGGATGGGAAGCAAAATTTTTACTACTGGATCAGAAGGGTTAATAGTGAGAGGAGTCACTTTCATTTTTACCCATTGATTCCTGGACTCATAAATCCTGGGTTCAGGAGAAAGATGGACATTGATTTAGAGCATCTATCACATACCAGAAGACAATGCCCTGGCCCCACAAGGTATCACCACCTAGCTGACACTGTAACTAAATTTTCAAAAAGCCATTCAACCATCTGTCAAAGCAGTTGCTTCAAGATGATGGGGAACATGGTGAGACCAGTGGATTCCATATGTATAAATCCACTGCTGCATTTCATTTGCTGTGAATACCATGGCCATGGATAAGGCATTCTGTAGGTCCACAGGAGGTGGTTTTGGCAGAAGCATGAGGGCAGGGAAGGCAAATCTATGTCCAGAGCAGGTGTTAACACCAGTAAGAACAAAGTGCTGCCTCTTCCATCATGAAAGTGGTCCGATGCAATCAACCTAACACCAGGTAGCTGGCTGATCCCTTTGGGCAATGGTGTCACATTAGGGGCTCAGTCTTGTCTCTTCTGCTGGCAGATTGAGCACACACATCAGTGGGTATCGCCAGGTCAGCCTTGGTGAATACAGTCCATGTTGCTGAGCCCATGCATAACCTCTATTCCTGTCACCATGGCCACTGTGTTCATGATTCCACAGGAGAGGCTGGAGAAGGAGGCTGTCTGATGTCTGCGGGACTGGTCATCCTACCCACCTGATTATTAAAATCTTCCTTTACCCTTTGGTGAGCATTCACATAGAACACAAGTATCTTCATACTCCACCATTCACAGAGGTCTAGCTTCATACCTCTTCCTCAGACCTTCTGGTCATCAATTTTCCAATCATGCCTCTTCCAAGTCCCTGACGACCCAGCCAAACCATGATTTGGTGCAGACCCATTCTTCTATCTCTTTCCAGGCAAAATGACCAACCAGGTGCACTGCTCTGTATTGCTCATGGGGAGGATTTCCCTTCACCACCGCCTTCCAGGGCTGT